GAAGCTGGTTGACAGGGGAGCAGAAGGAGAAGACCTGAGCCCATAAAGCGGATCCGGAAGGTCAAAGATAGAAATGCATGCATGCATATGCACATAATATGTATCTCTATATATATATGTATGTATGTATGCAGAAATGGATAGATAAGTACATAGATAGACAGAGATAGAGATGTAGAGATAGAACTACGTACAGGAAAAGGGCTTTCATGGAAATGAAGTAGGATTTCTTGTAATTTGCTTTTTTGGGGAGCATCGAAATCTTCAGAGATTGGGGCCATGGCTTGGGACTTGAGGGTAGGATTCAGGGCTGAAGGCCTGGTGGTGCAGAAGGCCTACAACACCAGATTTCCTGAAGCCAGTGGATCCCTGAAAGTTGAACTTACATCAAAATCTTTGAATACGATCAACTTGCTGGACATAATCCTGCGTGACCCTATATACCTGAAGTCACCAGTGTATACTTGGGCTCATGTGGGTTTTTGTCCATCAGCAGTATAATCATCGTTATGGAAGAACTGCGGGCAGGCAGAAACAGGCAGAAAGGTACGAAATGTCATGGCAAGCCCTGAAACGCCGAAGGAGAGCCTGAAGCCCTACTGTAACAGGTTGGGGGTGTCGCCGTTTGTGTGTCCCCAATTGCATGTTCACGGGCATAACATGCTTTTTGCCGTCCCGCGAACTAACATGAACCACACCAAGCCGCCTTTAAGGTACAGCAGTCTCAAAACGGTTTTTGTTGGGGTTACGTGTTACCTTGGGGGTCGGGCCGGGCAAAGCACTCCAAAAGGGATGATCCCTGAAGCTGCAAAACCACGCACTGAACGCCTGCAGAACCGCTGCTTCTCCACGATGGTCTAGCCTCGTTGCGCAAAAGCCATCGCTCAAAAAATTGGCTTATAGGGTCGGCTCAAACATGTGAGCGCCCGCCTACAGGTGAAGTTTTTCGATGGTCGGCATCACTAGGACATTCAAGAAAGAATTTTCAGAAGCTCCCTATGTACTACCGCTGGGATGGAGAGCCAACAGGATTCTGTGGTCATTGCATGAGTTTTCTCAAAGTGGGGGCGTCACATGGCAAACCACTGGTGGGGATACAAAGGGTCTAATGAGGGAAGATCTTTATCCGGGAATGCATAAGGATGTTTTGACAAGCGGCATCTAGGGCAGTAAATCAGGATTCTACAGGGCATGTCCACGAAATTACTACAAGATGGCACACCCCACCCTTGATAGCTGGGCTTTATTTAACATGCGCAAAACTCAGTGCTAAGGCAAGGACTAAGGATAGGAGATAACACCAAAAACAGTAGATGCCGTTGCGAGCGCTTCAGAAATCTACATTTGCATGATCAAGATGAGCAGCAACCACCAGGGGGAGTGCAGTACATCGGCGGCAAACTCGCAAGTCACTTGCCTGCAAGCGGGGAGTCCGGAACTTGGGAAAGCTCAATACGACAATCCAAATCAAGGGCATGGGTTTTTCAAAAACAAAACACGTCAAAACACGACCCGGCACGTTTGAAACCTGACCCTATGCCCTGAATGGTAGCCCCAAATATCGCAGCTGCGCGTCTTCCCACTACGGCTTTTGCTCTTTCAGTATTACCAGCTGCATTCTCTTCCAAGCGGTGCTTCCGTGCTTCCCAACATGAGGACAAGAACTCTGCCATAGCCTGACCTTTGGTAGCATTGCCCTCCCTGTATTGGCACCTTGAAATCATGAACACTAGCCTGAACATTCACAAGCAACTAACACTTTTAACCAATGCGCAGCAGCACACCTGCTTCGCGGTGCAACCGAGTACCACCACTGCAGCACATCAGAAGATCCAACGGATACACACGCACACACATGGAAACCGCACAGCTTGGAGCGGCGCATCAACCCTAAACTGTTTTCATAATAGCCACCAAAGCAGGACTTGGCGTGGAATAACATCATCGTGAACTGGTCCTCTGCCGCACCTTGTCATATGAAGGCGGGCGGGCGGGCAAGTTGCGCAATACTACCGACGTGACGTACAGGTGGCGCATGCGCACGACTTAAATCCAACCCAGCGCAAGCCAACCACCAATATGCGCACTTTGAAAACGGGCGTTGCTTGTTCCTGTGCAACAATATCGTGCGAGTTGTAGATGCCCCCACACGGGAGTCCTGACGTTTGGAAACTCCCATATCTCTGAGGGCCTTGTGCACGAGCACGCGCCATACCAGGCTCTGAAGTCTGCAACTTGGGTGAAGCTCAGGATTCTCTGCTGGACGTCGGCGGCCTGCAACCAAAACGATGCCATGGGAAGTTGGTGAGAGCAGTGGTGATGGCTGAGAAAAACCGAGAATAGCAGTAGCGGCAGCGCCAGCATTAACACGGCCCCTCGAGTACTGAGCACTACCATATCTACAAGGAAACAAGGACTGCTGCAAGCACGAGAAGTACGACGACCACCACCACAACCGACACCACCACCGTCACCTCCGGCACCACCAGCATCACCACCAACAAACACTACCCAAACCACCCTCACCACGACTAACAATCACTCAGCATCAAAACCAGCAAAATTGCTACCGCCACAAGCGTCACAAGCACCAGGACCAGAACCAGCACTACCTTCATGAGCAACAGACCGATGTGCTAGGAATGATGTGTCAGGGATAGTAATTCAAGACCAGAATAAAGAGTATGCCTCTCAGTCGCAGCATGTATAAGTACAACAGCTGCTCCGCCTCGAAATGCGGGCTCCTCGGGCACGAAGCTCTCGCTGCGGCGGCCATATGGCGAACTGGAAGATGGAAGCACAACTGTTTTTAACAATACTTGGCGCTTGAGGCCTGGGGCAAGTGAAGGTTATAGGACAAGGTAATAGACGAGCCTAGGAATGTCCAGAGTGTGAGCCTGGGCTTTTAATGCTTGATTGGATTCTCCCGGTAAGGGGCCACAGAGCGCTCTGCAGCTGAAATGGCGGCGGCATGAAAGAAGAAAGATATTGCCCTTGACAGAAAGTCTTTGACAAAAATAAATGCTCGAACAGAACGCCGATTGTCAAAGTTGGGGAGCTTCTCAGGCGCAAGACCGGTAGTTCAATGCATGCGGCCTGAATCGGACAGGCTCGCTGATCTGCAGGATGCATTCGCCGTCTCTCTGCTTCTGTGGAGATAGCTGCAGCTTGGACCAGAGCTGGGAATGCAACTGGCAAACTGCAAGTCTCCACGCTTGCTCTGTCGCGCGGAGTTTGCATCCTCTGTGCCAACGCCTGATTACAGCTAGTCCTGACTCAAGGCAAGGCCACTGTGATTTAACGCGGCCCCACCATCTCTTCCCATGCATTCAAGTTGTCAGCCACTGGAGATAGCTGCAGCTTGGACCAGGGCTGGGAACGCCATCCCTGTCAGAGCCTGATGCACTTGCCAAAAGTGCTATGCGGCAAAGCTAGCAGCAGTTACTATACAACATATCTCAACCAAAAGGCGCCCCTTTTTGGCGTGCAATTCTTGCAGGTTTCTGTTCCCCTTGTGCAGGGTAGATTGGTCTCTTCTCTTGCGAACTGACCCTTGCAGCAGTCCACAGATGCTGCTCTCTCGTTACGAACACCTGTAAAATTCGTAGGAACAAATCGAAGCGTTGAAGCCACCCTAGATCCCTGCAAAACATGTTTGCTCACAGTGTAGAGCTTTTAAATGGCCGGACATCAGTAGAACAGTAGAAATTGCTAAGAAAGGTCACATGTGCAATGGTCCTGCATGCATAGTCTGAGAGACGCAGCCGACTGTGGCACACTTGAACAAAAAGATGGCTCCAGCTGTTTAGCCATAACGGCCTGCCAGTTTGGCACGCCAAGCCATCGAAAAGGGGCTGCCCGCTAAGTCATGTCGTTAGACTTTTTTGTGAAAGTGCCTGGCATCTACACCACGACTAGCCATTTGAGATAACTGTTCTGATGAAACTATGATGCAGTGCGCGCTTCTACTGCACAAGCCACGGTGCTCATCACTGAGCGTAGTTGGCCAGTACAAGGGTTACAACCACTCTGCGAAAACGCTTCGGCAGGATTCGGTTGATCCTCTCTGATAGGGGGTGGAGGGCAGGTCTTCCCAAATGCCTCGGTATATCCCCTACCGCCAAGTTTAGGAATCAGGGCGTTAGGCTTAGGATCCCTGACCTCACCCGCCAACCCCAGGATCTCAAGCAGGTCAGCTGAGCCCATTGAGCCTCCGCGCTGCCAAAAACAAAGGGTGTTTGAATCTAATCTGATCATGGCAATCCTTTCCCCCTAACAACAAAAACCCCCCACAGCACTTAGCAATATACCCTAAACCCTAAACCCTAAACCCCTAAGTAGTAGTTTCCATTTTCTTTTCCATTATAGCCCTTGTATAACCCATTATTAGCCCCAAGTGGTGGCTCATTTTGCGAGGGGCAAGTGTGGCTGACCAGATATGTCTGAGGTTCATCCTCCAGGCCAAAAAACGCGCACACTTCTGAGAAAAAGGTTTTGGGGTGCATTACACTATGGCGTTATAATTGAAGGTTGTAAGGCAATGATGTCCCTGAGTATGGAATCCCTGGAAGCTTCTGGATTTCGGGTTGGGGAAGATTACTGATGGTTTGATTCTCTGAGCCTGCATGTTTGCAGTCCCAAGTTGGAACTCGGCTTCGGACCTGTGCCAGCGAAATCTGCCATAAACATGCTTGAAAATGAAAATCCCTTATTATAACTCACGTGCGTAAGAACATGAGTTCCGACGCGAGCAAGTTTCCCTGTCTTCCAAAGTTCCCATCTCTCAGGAACATACACCCAGATCCCTCATGGAAGAAGGCCCTAAAACCCTCAGACCCTAAATCCTGAACTCTAAATCCCAAGCTCTGAATCCTAAGCCCTGAACGTTGGCTTTGCCAATCGCAAAAGCCGCAGAGCCCCCCACAAAAACATGTCTGGCACGCATGGACAGGAAAAGCTATCGTGCTTAGGAGGCCTCCAGAATGTCTGAGGGCCACACTTTAGCCGAACATCTTGGAGAAGACTTTCTTCTGGCCCTCCTTCTGCTTATTCCTTGGTAAGTTTACTGGAGTGGTTTGTGCCAAACTAATGGCCGCTTCCTGCTTGAGCTACTTGCGCACAGTACTGATGTTTCCAACAATATGGCACCTCTCCCAAAGAAAGGCCCCTGATTTCTGGAACCCCTATGAGAGGCCCACTCTTTCGCAGAATCTCTCCCCTTATGTAGCGTGGCCATGGCTTGGACTGCTAGCCAAGTACATGAACAACGCGCTTAATGTCGTAACTTACTTCAACTTCCTTAACAACCTGTATGCGCCAGCATTCGCAGGTCCCCCCTACTCCAACCCCGCCTCAATGGTCAATCAAAAAGAGCATGATTAACCCAATACCCCCCCGCCCCGACCTGGTCCTGCGGTTTGGGTGTTGGGATTTAACTTAGGTTTATGGAGGGTTTGTAGTGTTTACAAACGTTTTCTGCGGGGTTTCTAAAGGTTCCTAGATGACGCATAGATAACCCGCAAGGAGCCCCAGTTTCCGGTTCATCTTCCGTTCCATGCGATTCTCCATAATTCGTCTTGCAGTTCTCCAAAATGCCTGTCCAAGCGTCAGCAGTTTTTGGAGACGCTCCTGGCCGAAGAGGGGAAGGAGGGGGTGGAAACAGCAACTTACGTCCTTGAGGTTTGAAGTATGGCCTAGGAAAATGAAACCTTTTTCTGGCAGCAGGCTTGTCTGTCTGCACGCCGCGCCTGCGCCTTTTTGAGATCGGCGTCTTCTGGAGACACAGCCAGGCCCTTCTTGATGTCCTGCTTCAACGGCTGAGCCTATCAATGGGAGCTGTCGTCATTTCCTTAGATTGATGGCTGCCGTTATGGGTAGAACTCACCTGGGAATCCAATGAGCAGGTATATGCAAGGCAGATATAGCCTCCAGGCGCAAGGTGGAACTGCGGGCAGGAGACTTTCGAATTCTAATCGGAGATTGATACCAAGGTTACTGTCACAAAAAGGATTCTTTCCCAAATTCCTTCTCAGGAGCAGGGCTCTGACCTGGTAAAATACAAAGTGGTAGACAGGGGCTTGCGGCTACTCTATCGGGATTCTCTACTAGTAGGAGTTCTATAAAGTGGATCATATTGAGCACACCTGCCAATAGCTCAGCACTGGGTGCCGTGGTCCTTCAGCGCATCCTCGAGCTCACCCAGCCTCGCTTGCTGAAGTAAATGCCGATTTAAGAAGGAGAGTCCCGCGCTTTTCTGCCTCTCGGCCTAGGCCCTTGTCAGTCTAAGATCCTTCGCACATCCTGACTGTTTCTAAGCAGGCCCAGCCCGATTCAGTCAGAGTAGCTTTTCCTGGCAGAGACTTCTTCTGAACATCGCCTTGATGCTGCTCGCATCTAGCTCCTTAGATGTAGTGCGTAAACGTGAGGATCGTGAGGATGCACAGGCAAAGGTTTGATGGCTTGGGTTCAGGATTTGCTGCACTCTGCCCTGATTACGGCCATGCCTCCGGCAACGAACCCCTGCAACCGGTAATAAGGGGAATGAGTGTGTCTTGAAATGCTGGACGGTGTCCTGCCTGCGGACTTGCGTGCTCCAGACATATTCCGTGTACTCGCATGTGGCGCACGCGCGGATCATTTTGAATCCTGGTCTAACTGTTTACAGCACTCACCCTTATATTAGTCACTATTCATACCCAAGAGTGGGGAATCATGCCAAGCTGCAAGGACATCCTCGCAGGACGTCCTGGCCTGCCAACACAAGCAATATGCCATGTGCCCTGCCAGTGCTCACCAACCAGTAAATTTGTAACCTGTGTGTGGCAGGTAGAGAAGCACAGTGGTATTCCACTAAAGAGAGAAGTCTTGCAAGGTGCAACAGCGCTTTCCAATCCAATTCCAATTATTGGCTGCCAGCACACCCCAACAGCAAAGGAGCCAACAGCAGCCCAGCCCTCAAACACCAACAAAAATCAGAGATGTGGAGGTGCCGGCCGAAGCAGTGAAGAGGTGCATCTAATTACTACATCTGCCTCAAGTAATTACTGGAGCCAACCTTCTTGTAGAAGGGCTCCGCGGCGTTCTTTCCGCCAGACTGAGCCGCAGCTTCGCCAGCTTTGATGTAGCCTTCATCATACAAGACCGGGTGGCACTTTGAAGGTCACAGGTCAGCTGGAAAATCCGTGACAGAACTTCATGATTATCCAGAAGTGCTACCTAGAAGAACAGCTGCGCCAAAAAGCAAATGCTTGGGCAGTCGTTGCCGTTCATGTAGGTGTCCACAAACTATTGTCGCCTTCTTTTCAAGGGCTTATGATGGTAACCCGAAGCAATATCGTTTCAGGACTTCCCGAATCTTCCCCATTTCCTGGGGAGGATGCAACCCGAAAGGTCCACGGCCACGATGTTCTTGCAGCCGAGCAGCACTGCGCGCTGTTTAGATGGCAGGATACCTCAAAGGTTGAGTTGACAGATTCTGTGTGATTTAGGGTTATGTAGGGGATCCATAGGGGTTATAGGGTATATAGGGGTAAAATATGGTATATAAGGGCTTTATGTACAGTAAGGGTCTAGGGTCTTGGGAGACACCTTCACTCTGTTTGATTGCAATTGCTCGGTGGTGGGCTTCGTAAATCAACTCGGGGCAACAGCACAGGTAGGCGTATCCCGAAACACTACCGTGATCATTCAAAACTAAGAGCCTAGAATTTTACCTGGTTATAACTTGGGGTTTTCCGTATTTTCCGTAGCAAGCAATGGGCCCTGGGCTTTAGGAGCTTGGCTGTGAACCAGCCGAGGTTCTTTGGTCTCAAGGCTACATCACCTATCGGCCCCTTGCTGCGGAAGCTCCACCCGGAGGCTTTTGCCATGTGAGCCACTGTCTAAACTCCTAGTATCCCCCTTAATAAGCCCTATAGTAGTCCCCTATATAATCCCCTATATAACCCCCCCTTTAAGGAGTTCAGACTATAGCTCATGTCCATGACGCATGGAATTGCTCCTCAAATAGAAATCGCCAGTACAAAAGCCCGATGAATTATGCAACGTTTCATGCTTAAGCACACACAAGCGCATCACGAGACTCAAACAGCGAATTCTGACTGCAAAGCATCCAGACTAAGAAGCTCTGCTGCCACTCAACTCCATGGAGGCTTTTGGACAATTCTTGGCACCATACTCCCCGAAATAAGAATGAAACCTCAAGAATGGGACCTGCGCACACTCTCTCCGTGCACCCCTTCCCGGCCGGCCTTTATCTTCTTGGCCTCCTCTGCCTCATCCGGAGTGAGATTACTGACCACCTCCGGTCGAGTCACCTGGGTAGTGCTCGTTCTTGTGGTTGAATGAAGCTCGTGGTTGGTGGTCTAACAATCCAGAAACTTTCAATCAAGAACTACTCAGATCTGGGACTAGCCCAGGAATTTTGTTGGGAAAATTTGACTTTCTGCCGTTTAGATTTGCCTGCGGCGCTTGAGTTCGCGTATTTGGGCTCCTTGCTGCTTGTTTGCACTAGTTGCCAGGTAGATGTCATGCACAGCAGCTCTTGCTCTCAAGTACTCAGCATGAAACGAGGACGTGGAAGCTGGCAGGATGCATTCTAGAAATGGTCGCAGCCTCAAACGAGTCCAACCCACCAGCACACGTTGGGCTATCCGTTCCCCGTTTCGTGACGCAGCACCCAGCGTTTCACAGGAAGAGCCGCCTTCCCTGGTTCCGTGTTGAGTTGATACTCGTGAGCGACAGCTTGAAGAGTACATTGTAGACCTGTGAAAACCACGGTGTCATTATACTTTGGGCGAAGACTTCCACAATGAACACCACGTTGTTGAACTGTTATTGATGCTTCAGCCCGCAAAGCTTGCAACAACAACAACAACAACAACAACAAGTGCCATCCAGAAGATCGTGAGGCCACCTTGTAAATCCAAGGTGCGTGGTCGATGGCTTTCTTGTATCTTCTCACAGCCTCAGCGGCAATAGGCTTTCGATCACCCCTACGGCAAGTAGGGGAGACGGGACGGTTCAGTTCGGGCTTGCTGATGGAGGTTTACGTAAGGATCCCGCTGTAACCAGATCAAGGGGAACCCTACAGAAAGGTCGGATTTAGCGAGTGAACCTGGCTGCCTGTTTCACTTGGATCGTCCTAAGCTCATCGCATCGTCGAACTTCTGAGCTTTGAACATGTCCTTAGTTCTGCAGAAGAAACGCGGGAAGAAGCACGGGCCGGGAATTGCGCAGGGAGCGTTTCCAGGGGGAGGGATCAATGCCAGAATCCAAGCTGCGTTGCCCTCGTCCTTGTTCTTCTGAGCCAGTCTTATTCGATCCTCCTTCTTCATGACTCTCTCGTCCTCCCAAGCAGGCTGAAGAGGACAACCCCAATATAGACCCCAAACTACTATAATCCTTGTTCTGGGGATCCCCAAAATGGTTCCCCTAATTTTGGGAAATTCCCGAATATAAGACAACAGGAGATCTTCCTTGCCATGCTGATAGGCGCACAAATCCTACATCGTCAGGCTTGCAAACGACCCTGGGAGCATGACGTCGAAATCAGTGCACAACTGCCACGCGCTGCAGAATCGAGGCTTACCTCTATGTAACCCCTACTAAGCCCTGAACCTGGAACCACCCGCCACACCCCCACTGGACATTTCAAAAGGGGTCTTAGGTATGTACCCCCAAATAAGTTAATCCTCACTGCAATTGAAGGACCCTCAAAAATACCCTCAGCTTTAGAAATCCTAATCCTTGTTAATCACTATATAATGCCAGTTTTCATGTGATGTCGATGTAGTTTTCCATGTGATTCTTCCTTGTTGGGGTTGTGCCTACATACACATACACAGATATATGTGTATGTATATATATGTATATGTGTGTGTGTCAACAAATATATGCTCCCACGGCCCTTATCCAGCCTTGTCGTA